TTAACACTCGTTAATATTATCTGTATCAACGTTATGTACAACGTGCCTGTGCCTGTGGGGTTTGAACCCGTCTTCCTCTTCTCACTATTATATATATAACACCTATATCCACTTATCCCACTATATCCCAACTAATGATGCAAGTCCACTTGAACAATGTACAACAACATCACTACTTGTGTTGTCAACTTCTTTGCCAATTGCTAAATACCATAGATATAGAATAAACATTTATTCTATATCTATGTAAATACATAAATGCATGCATGCATGCATGTAATAATTTTTACTACTGAGAGTTTTATATAATTATACTGATTATTATCACAACACAAAAACTTTATTTATTTTCAATCATTATATGGCACTACATTACGGCACTATATGCCTCTAACCATGCTCTAACCATAGAAATATTATAGGTAGGTTATCTATATTATTTCTATGGCTCTAACCAGAGCTAACCTAACAACGGTAATAACAACGGTAACTAGAGCACTCGGAGAGCACAGACCTCCGCCAAGCAGCTGACTTCTCTCAATGTGAAATTTTTTATTAATTAATTAATTAAAGTGATTACGTCACGAATTTCTAGCACCATCAAGTAGTATATTTGTGTGTTATTTGTACAAAATAAAATGTACGAAAATACAATTAGTGTTTCTGTTTACTTTTCATGCTTATATACCTTCTTTATCACACGCACATACGTGCGCGCACACACACGCACACACACAATATATATATATATATAATTGTAGTCTGTAGATAAATTAAAGACAAGACATCACTTTTAGCTGTTACTTTTAGTTTCACGCTTACGCGATCATCAGACACACTTTAATAAAGAATTCTTAAATCATTATTTCCCCAATGCCACTTTTATGATATTTTTTTCTGAAATATCCCCAATGTTGGATAGATACACGCCAAATGCCCCAAGTGTGCTATTTTTAGAAGTCCTCCCTACTTCTCATAATACGCGCCATTTTTTTTTAAATATTTTCAAGCGAACAAAGTTGCAGTGCACAGGATGAGATTGTCGTTTACGATCAAGTTTCTCCTGGTTTATCAGACATTGAAGGTATAAGCAGAGCACGTATATCATATGATATACATGCTCTGGTATAAGCCATGTGTAAGTATCTGTGGCATAAGCATAATAAAAATTGTATATAATTGTAAAAAATAATTGTAAATAAATTTGTCATATCTGGAAATCGAACCCGCCACATTCCGCTTTCAAACGTACTAAGTACGACCATCGACGCGTTTACGCGCGAGTCCAATCCGTCATATTGTACATATCTGGCTTCTCATTCGTTGATGGAAAACGTACTGACCACACCCGCACTACTACGTGTCAATATCATTTTTATAGCCTAATAATGTCACGCAAATACCACTCAAATACTACTCTACATGCAGTCATACCCAACGCGCTTATCTGTGCACTGCAGGCGTTAATGACACTTTGCACGTATATATCATGAATACTAGCTGCTGGTACCCGCTGCGCTGGGTAAAATCGTGCTACTAATTCATACTACTAATAATGGGACACAATAGGAACATTGGGTAAAAATCGACAATAACATTGCACACAATATGAATATTTAGAAATGAGTCTAATAAGATAATAAGCATGGGAAAAACTGTTACGTATGACATTTATATGACAGCACAACCCAACTTAGAACCCCTGGAACATAATAGTAATATGGTGTAAATGACAAAAAGTTATTATAACAGCATGTACGAATGGTTGGACTTTTCATTTGAAAACCTCTTGATAAACAATGTTTTTCGTGTTATTCTCTGGTGGAAATATGTAAAGATTCCTGGCGTCTCGAACTGTTGAGCTCCCCACGTACGGCATGCACGTATGGCACGTACGGCACGTAACAGCATATACGAATGGGTTGCGCTTCTCATTTCAAAGCCTGTTGATAAACAATGCAGTCGTAACCTCTGAACTGGCTGTGCTCTGTTTTAGCACGGTGCTCGGTTTCGGTTTCACAATACCAGCAGCTGATGGAATGAGTGATCGATTTTTCTCTGTGTGGCAGCACTGTACAGTCAGTGCTGACATTGTGTGAAGATTCACGAATTGAGGGGTTTTTCGGTGAGGGGTTTTTCACGGGTTTTTCGGTGAGTG